GTCGGGTTTAGAGCAGTGGAAGGGATGGACTGGGTGAAGGGGGCTGAAGGTTTGTCGCTACTTGCGGACGACAACTCCAAGTCTAAAACGTGACCAACCTGCCCGGAACCGCATCAAACTACCCTCACACCAATTCCGGTCCTCGTACCATTTCGACGCTCAAACCATCCCCTAACAATGTTCACCCTCTTCTCACTTTTATTACTTACGTGAACGTTCTACGATAATGGCGAAACCTAGGAAGTACTGCGAGCCGTCGTATTTCAAAGTCGACATTGTTTTTCCATCAGCGTTACTCTTGGGGGGTTGTCAAAAAATATTTTACTTTTTCGAGATGGATATAAATATATTTCTTTTTTCTCCTTGTCACGGGAAACAAACAACTTCTTATATAGCGATCTTATATTCATCCCCTATTTAAATATATGCCAACCTTACCCCTGTAACACGTTATTTTCCACGAACCTCCTAATCCTGTTAAGGGTTGTAGAAGCCTCTTTAAACCTTCTCAGAGTGCTCGGTGCTACATTGCTTTGCGATGAAAGTGATGCGCTAAGGAATTTAGACTATAATGTGAAACAGGTCGTAATGACCTTGTTTATTTTGGAAATTTTTCAAAATCGAAATCTAAGATACGTTTTGATTTAAACCTCTATGGGCCCGTATAACTTTCAGGTCACATTTTAATTTATCGACATTTTACAAAATAATTATGACTTGTGGCCGGTGTGACTTGAAAGTCACATAGTAAATATATCGCAATAAAATTGTTTAAACGGAAAAATTTATTTTCATTTGCATATATAGGTTTATAATTTCTGATTTTACGTTCCCACAATTTTGTTGGAGTTAAAACAAAAAGTCGGCCCATAGAGGGTTAAATTATTTGTCGTGAAATTATTTGTTGTTCGTTCCACGAACCTCCCAATCCTGTTAAGGGTTGTAGAAGCCTCTTTAAACCTTCTCAGAGTGCTCGGCACTACATTGCTTTGCAATGAAAGTGATGCGCTAAGGAATTCAGACTGTAACGTCAAGCAGGTCGTAATGCCATTGTTTATTTTGGAAATTTTTAAAAATCGAAATCTAGGATACGTTTTGATTTAAATTATTTGTCGTTGTGCGAGTTTCCTATATATGTATATAGATAACCCAGGAGATATCGTTTTCCGAAATTAAGGCAAATTGTGTGAAGCTTGGCGGCGTACGACGTTATTCCCGTGCGAAATCGATATGCAAATCTAGGCGCAAATCCTAGTAATCTTGCAGCCGCCCAACCCCCGAGCATCCAATAGAATAGGGGTGGCTTTAGCGGGGCACCTTGGAGAGCGAGGAAAACTAGATGCTAGAATGAGGATCGGGATAAAGACAAGGGACAGTGAGGTTAGGGGGTGTCACGGGGTGAAGGAGGAGGAGGTCGCTGTGTTGAAGGTTGAAGGGTACGGGAATATCGAGGGGGTAGAAAGGTTATAAAGTGGGGTTAGCACGGGTCTGAAGGATCGTGTTCGACGGCCACCTTCGACGACAGGATTTCACAGGGGTGAAAGATGCTGCTTGACATCCACCTTACCTACCTAACCTTCTAGTAACCCGTATATACCTACGGGGTGGAGAACTTTCAAATTCATTCTTATCCCTTGGTCCTGCCACCCTCTCAAAATCTCTCGGCTATACCTACCCGACCGATAAAATATCCCTACAGAATTTTCGATTTTTACTATGTAATATTACTTTAAAGGATGCGGGTTAATTTGAAAATATTTTCAAAAAATTTATTAAAAAATGTTCCACCCTTATTAATGTTTTTTTTTCGTTATTTTACTACTACGTTTTCATTTCCCGTATACAGGATTTGACTTACGCAGTGATAATAGGGCGTTTCATCCTAGTGGAAAAGGAAAGAAAGGACCAGACGTTCTGGTATCTATTCACCGTGTGTTGATAACGGCGACAGGAAATGGAGCAGGGACAAGGGGGGGGGTAGGAGGGTATGAGAAGAGAAACGTGAGAATAAAGTGAAGGGATAAGATGGACAGTGCTAAAAGCCCAAAGAATAAAGATTGCGAAAAGAAAAGAAGAATGACGATCAATCTTGATCCCAATTACCGTGTCGTTCAGCTACGGTAATTGAGCCGCTCTCGGACGCCAAGTCACTTTGGACAATGCCGGAAAACCGAAACAATAGGAGCCAGGGGGTAGTCTCGGAATTTCTTGACTTTATCCCCAGAAGGAAAATGTCTTTTTTTTTTTTGTTGTACCTCGAAGGTTCTCGGCAATAGTTCATAAAAAAAAATAGCCTACCTGTATATCGAACGTCCGAAAGGTCTGATAGACAAAAATCAATTGTTGGTTTAAAAAAAAAAAAAAATTAGAAACAACCATCGATAATGGACGACAAAGCTTGTTAATTTTCCCCCAATTTCCTATTTTTTTCATATTCACGTATATCCCATTAAAACTACAAACACACATTTACCGTTCAATTTTCTGCGCATCTCGAGTCAACTGATGTTGACTGTCTAGGGATTTCTGGGATGTAAATAAAAAATGTAGACTAGATATTAAAAGAAATAATGACGTCATAATAAAATTCAAATAAAACGCCTACAGCCTTAAGTCTCATTCTCACAGTCAAATGGACTCCGGTCGTTCGCACGATAAATTATATTTTCCTCGATCCTATCGCTCCAGACGTCCCTTTAGTACTAGCCTTTAATTTTCGCATTACCTTTACGACGATTTCATATCAGCCTTTATATCGACACCAGTACGTCTCTACGTAGTGTTCTAGGGATATTTATCGTTACTTGGAAATAACTAGATGTTCCTATGTCTACTTGTCGTGTCTCGCGTGTTGGCAGTAACGAGCATTTATTGCAGTCACGAAATGTCCCACTTCTTTATATCCGAGAAAACAGTATAACAGGGCTCCCGACTCGTGTTATCATCAAGATAACTGATAACAGAGTTTTCCCTTGCTAGTTACTTTAGAAAGAATTCAAGGAATTACAAAAATACGTAAAATTCGTAAAATATTATTTTACACGTAAATCGTCATAATATTCGATGCTTAATCGGTACGTCAAAGGTTGAATTAAATATCACGTGTGTTATCCAATATACCCAAGTCACACTAGAAAGGGTTACGTAACCAGTAATACCTCAAAATCTTTTCTACTGAAAATTCGCAGGTCGCTTCCCGGCGACTTTCGCCAATTTCAAATTCTCATCTCGTCCATCCACGTTAAGTATAAGAAAAACTTTCCAGTCCCCGCCTACCGCATGCGATCCAACGAGTACGTGAGTCTCGCGTTACCGACACCCATCTGTGCATTATCTTCGTTTATCGTTGATTACTCATCGGTAATAAGCACTCGTTATCCACTTACCATGCAGATATACTTACCATACGTAAGACCTAACCCCGAGCACGTGCTTAGTCAAGTCGTGAATTCCCCAGAGTTCCTACTGATATAAATTGATAGTCAATAATTTATAATCGATAAACATAATGGTAAAGGACGTTACGCAGAGTACTAGTTATCGTTGTATAACAGCAAAACACTAGTTATAGAAATTTTTTTCTATTATTAAGATCGCTAGGTGTCTATACGTATATTTCCATGACGTTAAGAAACCGAAGATCAAGCATGTTTCCATTAGACAGTCGATCGAAGCTTTGTCGTAGATATTAAGTTACACTTGGCTTTCCGTATAATCGCACACCCGATGCCCTGAGATGCGTTAACTAGCCACAGTGCGATATTACCGAGAGTCCATCGTAATAACCCAAACGTTCGACAGATGGCGGTTAACTCGCGCTGAAAAGCGCGACCGAGTGGGGGAAGGCTTCCCCTCTCAGCGCGAGCTTAGAAAGAGAGCTGAGGGGAAGGGCGACCATACGAAGCGCCTCTGTAGCCCGAGTCGACTGTGTACCAGGAAACTCTTGAATGTGCTTAATTAGCCGATATTTGAGCACTAAGGGCACGCGAGTTTACGCTTACAAGCCGCTATTACCGAAAGCCGCTGGATTTCCGGGATGAGAAACAGCGATGGCGGTTTGGTGGCTTCTGGCTAGGTAGTTGGATCGCTGGTCCGCTAGGTGGCGACGTGTGAGATGCTTTCGCTGTGACGCACCGGGTCGACTGGGGTGCACGTTGCTGCCCTCTGTACTCGTGTTACCTGAACTAATATTGTTAAGTATAATTAGTACTGCCCTGTACACTCTACCTGGTACACCTTACTTACCTGTTTGGTACCCTTTCGACAAATAGCTTCTCACCCTATTTCATCCCGACTACTGTCGATGCTATTCTCTTAAACCCATGTTACACTTCGGTTCTAAGACCATGTTACAAGACCTATTGTTATCAACTAGGTTGTCTCTTATCAGCGCGGAAGCTTCTCACTGCGTCCTACTCCACTTAAATTATCTGTTTACGGACTTTCGATCGGAAATTCTTTGATCCGTATTTTACGTGATTAGCTGAAATTTTTTGTGCTTTATTAAGAAGGACATTTTTGACTTATTTTTCACTAAGTGATATATGGCGGGGTTGATTGGAAGGAATTTTGAAAAATGGCCAATTTTTTTTTTACGAGTTAAGCAATGAGAGCGTCGATCTTGCGAGCGCTGAAAATTGAATTCCTGGTAATTTTATGGGTGGGGGGGGGGGGAGCTTATTTCCCACCGAGGGATGTTGCTGACGTTGTTTCTGCAGACCCTTGAAAAAGTATATTGTAAGGGATGATGAGGGAAGTCAAGTACAACCCCCGTTTCTTCGATTTTACTTCGGCTCCTGTTATTGCTCCGTGACTTGTCCTCTCCGACCGATCTCAATATTCGGAATGTCAATTGCAGATGCATATTTATCGAACTTCGATAATGACGTCACGACCCCTCGTATCGCCACTTTCAATTGTATTCACTGTTTGAACATTTTTTTTTTACTGTTTCAATCGCAACCTCTTTATTTCTCTTATCTATTGCTTTCTTCTTTCAGGGACGATGTAATAGGGAAAAGCCACCCTGCAAGTATTTCCATCCGCCCCAGCATCTCAAGGACCAGTTACTCATCAACGGCCGCAACCATCTTGCTCTAAAGAATGCCCTGATACAGCAAATGGGCCTTACACCGGGCCAGCCTCTTGTACCTGGCCAAGTCCCCACAGTGGTACGTCGACAGACATATTTTTTTTTATTTTCATCCTTCGATGAGAATCCACATTTGTATACCTATACATCGGTCACTCATTTTTTTTTTTATTCTAGTTACACCGGCTAGATAGCGTTTACGTAGATCATTGACGGTGCAACGACAATATTTTTTTTCAATTTTTCAAAATCGACGTTTTCGTGTTTAGAGAAAATTTTGTTTTCTCGTGAAAACTTTTTTTTTAAACTTATCAGTCGTGCATTTTGCCAATAATTTCTCAGTGGATGACGCCGTTTTGACTTTTCATGAAATTTTCATAATTTTGATAGAGTACTTTTGAAGCATGCATAAAAAAGAATTTTTTTTTTTCATCACCAATCACATTTTTTTCTATCTTCAGTATTATGTATTCCTGAATGTCACTTTTTCGATCAATAATGATCTGTCATAATCTACTCGTTGCACCGTTCAGTGCGCTATAACCCAAAATAAGATATAAAAATTAGCACGCAGCATGTTCCCTCTTTGTTTTTTTTTTTTTTTTTTTTTTA